AAGTATTGAATTTTGGGCTCATGGTTCTAGAGGGTCAGAGATGATGAACATCATGGCAAGAGGGGGCAGGCAGATGTGGCGTAGAAAGAGCACTAATTGGGAATTGTGTGGGCTTTTGAATCCTTGAAGCCACCCCACCTCCTAATCCTTCCCAAACAATTCTACCAACTGGGGACCAAGTATTTAAATATATGAGCCCATGGGGACCATTCTCATTCAAAGCACCATATTCCAGTTCCTGGTCCCATAGACTTGTAGCCATAGCACAAGGCAAAAAATGCCCTTAGTCATTTAACTACAAAAGTCCTTCATAGTCTTTCAGACTTAGAGTGTTTAAAATTACAAAATCCTAAGTCTCTTCTGCTAATTATATCCCCTTATAAAATCAAAAAGCAAATTGCATACTTCCAACATACAAAGGGAGGAATAAGGGTAATAGTGAGGAAATATGGAACAAAGCAAGACTGAACCCAGCCAGGCAAATTCCAAATCCTCTAGCTCTATGTCTGATGTCAAAAGGCTTAGGTGGCTCTGCCCTTCCAGTTTAGCTAATAGTAACACGATTCTCTCTCCTGGGCTGGTTCCACTCCATGTTTGCAGCTTTCCTTGGTGATATCATATAGCTTGGATCTCCAACACAATCCGGGACTCACTTTCACAGCTTCATGCCTCTCAGGCATCCATGCAAGGACTCCCCTACCACATCCCTGGCCCCAGTAGCTTTTCTTAACCTCAGAGGAAGATTCCACAAGCCCTTTACTATTGTATTCTTCATGACTCTAAAGCCACAATCATAAGGACAAAGCTGTCAAGCTCTGCAGCCTGCTGGGGCTGGAGACTAGCCCCCATCTTGAATTACATTTACATAAGCTTTCCTTTGTAGCTTTGCAGGGAAAGATAATTCCTTAGCCTTTTCTTTTTGCAAATTGCAGGATTAGCTGGGTGTGGTCTCAACCTGAGGGTACCACTCCCTTTATTTCATTTTTCATCTTTTTTAGCACACACTTTGCATACAACATGAAAAACTCCCTGGAGCTCTTTTTCTCCTCAAATCATACCTTCTGTGTTTATTTATTTTTGCCTCACTTCCTCTTTTTCATTATAGACTTATGAAGTATGATTACAAATAACAACACTACAGAGACAATATTAGGTTGTTTTGAAATCTCTACTAATGAAATTAGTCCCAAACACGTCAATTAAGCCTCAGGCAGATTATTCTTAAAATACAGTTAAAAATCATCCACAATCTTTGCCAAAATTATCACTAGAATGGTCTCTAGCCCAGCTGCTAATATTGTTCCCCTCTGAACCCTCTTGAGCTGGGCCTTCATAGTCCACATTGATCTCCACTGTCTTCCAAGTTCCTACAAGAATGACCCTTTAAGCTTCACTTACAGTGTCAGGTGCTTTCCTACCCAATAGTTCCAAAGTCTTTCATATCCCTCCAAAGAACAACATGGTCAGACCTGTCATGAGCAGTCTACTTCTGTTTTAGTTACTTTTCTATTGCCGTGACAAAATACCATGACCAAGGAAACTTAGAAAGCATTTAATTTGGGGTTCATGGTTCCAGAGGGTTCCATGACCATAATGGCTGGGAGCATGACAGTAGGTAGGCAGGCAAGCATGGTACTGGATCAGTAGCTAAGAGCTCACATATGATTCAAAATAGGCAAAAATAGAGAAAGAACTTTCTTAGAGAATTTTATGGTTTTTCTTTTCTTCCTTCCTTCCTTTCTTTCTTTCTTTCTTTCTTTTTTTTAACACTCCACCCCCAGTGACATACCTTTTACATCAAGGCTTACCTCCTAATCCTTTCTAAATAGTTCTACAAACTAAGCACCAAGTATTCAGATATTTGAGCCTATGGAAGCCATTCCCATTCAAACTACCACAGCAATAAACCATTAGGAGTCACTTAAATACTGTCCATTTAGCAGAAAAAGTTTTAGGTTTTCCCTATGTCCTAGGGAGTATCTAGTATACTAAGGATGTATACTAGTATCTAGTATACATCCTTAGGCCCCTAACAGTGCCAGGCATGGGTTCTAGCTCATAGAGTTGGCTTTGGGTCCAATGAGAAAGGGGTGGTCACTCCTGTAACATCTGTGCCACTATTGCACTAGTGGCATGTTTTTTTTTTTTTTTTAAAAAATTCAGTTATCTTTAGCCAGCTGGAAAATGTAAATTAAAACTACTTTGAGATTTCATCTTTCCCAAGTCAGAATAGCCATAATCAAATGAACAATAATTGACAATATATGCTGGTGTGATGCGGGAAAAATATACTAAATGCTGCTGCTGGGAAAGCAAACTGGTATCACAATTCTGGAAATCAGTGTGGAAGTTCCTCACAAAACTGAAAATGGATCTACCACATGATGAAGCTGCATCATTCATATATATATGTATATATGTATATATATGTGTATTCATATATATGTATACACACACACACACTCATTTAGATAAAAAAATCAAAGAAATACTTAAAAATGAAGGAAATATGGAAGGGAATACTAATCTTAGGAAGCTATCTAGCAATAACTATGGACAAAGCAAGGCTATGGAATCACTGTGAAATAATTGAGATGTACAGGGTGGTAAGAAAAAAGGAGCAGGTAAGAGGTTCATCTATGAACACAGAACTCAGGGCTGCTGGCCAGGGATGTATCAGGCTTACAGTCATTCAGTCACAGGATTCCAGAATTCAAAATAGTGACTATCTTTAGACAATGGTTTAAATCTGGGGCTCATCACTGAGGAAAATTAAATAATGCATGGTAGCCTAAACTACCAGCTTTCTCAGTAAGAGCCATATACTATCACAGGAAGCAGAAAGTGGAAATCGAATGGGCTAAGATGACAGAAAGTTCATGGAGATGAGCAGTAAGAATTAATTAGGGATGGAAAGGGAGATTGACACATTCTGAGAGCAAGGTATTATGAACAGTTCAGGGCCATCATAGGAGTTTGTGCAGAAGAATAGCTGGAAAGAAAATGAGAAAGTACTTTTAAGTTTCCACACTGACATATTTCCAGCAGCTTGCTCTGACTCCAGTGCCTGAAGAAGCCCTCTCACCTATCTATGAATAACCAGCACAGCATACTCAGCTTTAACACTCTAGCCCCGAGAAGTATCTGAGAAGATGGCAGAGTTACCATCTTGAGTTTGTGTTCAGACAAGCAAATACAGAGTCACTACTAGATGTCCATGGCTCCTGATGCTGACCTCCATCTGTGGGCAACGTGAAGCTGAAAACTCACATCTATGGCAATGAAACAAGTTCTCATCCTGGCACTGTGGCAAGTGCTGCTAAAGACTGAGGCATAGGACTAGACTCACAGGGTCCCAGTATTCTTTTCCAATGGAAACACACTACTTCTCACATAAGTTTTTTTTAGGAACTATAGAAACTCTCCTGCTCTATTAAGGAGAAACAGAGATAAGCATAAGAACATGCTCTTTGTCATTAGCAAAAGCTGCTTCTGAGAAATGGCATTTAATCTAGGTTGCTGTTCAAAGACCTCAAGGTCAAGTGCCTTGAAGCTTACCAGAAAACTAATAAAAAACGAAAAAAAAAATTTAAAAATCTCAAGATAAATTCAAGATGGGCAACATGAATTATTAATGATTACCAAAGCACTGAACCACAGGATCAAATGTCATTTCACATTTCAATCTTAAGTACTTTTTATATGTTTCAGTTCTTTTCTCCTTCCTTTCTTGCCAGTCAACATGGAGGTAATTCTCATTTCTCATACCCAGCAATACCATGTCAGTAAAGTCCATTTTGATAAGAGAGGCCTGAAGATCATAGAAACTTTTTATGCCTGCTATAACTGTCTGATGTGGCACTTTCTATCTCACAGAAAAATACTATGACTTAAAGGCTATACCTTCCTCGATTCACTTCTATATTGTCACTAGAGCAAAGGAACTCATGTTAATTGTTATCAAGAAGTCTGTATTACCTGCAAGCATCTCATGCAAACAGAATATAATTTAAATCAGCAAGACTACTACTTAAGATGCTTTCACCTAGCAGTTAGAAAACACTTTACATAATTTGCAAAGAGTTCTTACACATATTCTACCTAAACAGGGAAATAGCTGCAATGTAAATAAGGCATTTATGGAGTAAACAGATGCTAGATTTGTGGGACTCTGAAGCCAAGGTGGTTTTTCTGGTTTTGTTTTTGATCTTACCAAAATGTATGTCAGGAAAAGATAAACTCTTGCATTTTTTTATCCCTGTTTGCATCCAAAAAAAAAAAAAAAAAAAAAAAAAAAAAAAAAACAAATGGAACTTTCTGTTTATTTTACTAGCTAGGAGTAACATTTTCTCAGAGATGTAGATAATATTTTATCAAAAGCTCATTTAAACTCCAAATGGGAATCTTTATAAACTTCCTAAAAATAATACGTTATAACTGTAAAAAAAATACTTCTGAAATAATAATTTCTGATATTATCCCTCAAGTGGACAGACTGAAGTATGACTTGTTCAAATAAGAAGGCAGAGATTAGATCCAAATGCTATATAGGGTCTTTATGACAAAGGACAATCTACCATCAGTGACTGAGGTACTGGGACTCAGGACACTGGTAGTCTCAGCCTCAGAATGCTCTTCCTGAGATTGGGGATTTCAGTATATGTTCAGCCTCAACGCCAGGCTATGGGCCTATTTCTTTCACATATTACCCGGGAGGTTAGCTTTCTTTCACAGCTATTCCAAGACTTCATCAGTTCTTCTTGGCTTAAGAATAGAGTCGATCACACACTAAGATTTCCATCTAAGGCTTTCTAGGCTCAATTTGGATTCTTTAAATGAAGTCAAGTACCCCGTTTCTCTCCTTATTGTGATGTGTATGCTTTTGCTATTCAGCCCTAATTACACATATAATTTTCCTGTAGTTCCCCTATATGGGAACCATAGGTTAGAAATTACTTGCAATTTCTAACGCAAAAGAGAGATTAAGAAACTATACTTACTTAGGAGGAATTCGTGAAACCGTGTTCATGTTTGAGGCTGGGGCCACTACTTGAAGGATGTGTTCAAGGGCTGTTAATCCACCAGCAACTTGAAATGCAATCTGATCTGCTATATTCTAGACAGAAACACAAATAGAAATTAAATTAGCTCAATATTCTAGGCATAAAATTATAAGTAAATGAAATATTTAGTTATGTAGCTAAGATATATTTGTTGATTTCTCAGTGCAGGGAAATGAGGTCAAACAGTGGTGAATATAAGATATGGTCATCCTTAGTTATGAAGTTTAAAGTCTGATGAATAGGACACATACTAGTCACTCCATTATAAATGCCTATTGTTACAATTAGTATCCCAAAGGGAAGGCAAGGATTGCATGAGAATAGGTGACTAACTATATTGTTTGGGGGCCAGGACTGGCTTCTCCAGATAAGTCACAGCATGAAACAGGCAGAAGGAAGTAAGGGTATAGTAGCAGGGAAATGGCAAAGCACATTTATCAAGAAAAGGAAACATGTTCAATAATCATAACTCCTATCTAACATGAGCAGTTGACTACTGCAAAGGTTTTCTCCACTGGAATGTTCACCAGCAATACCAGACAACCTAATAATGTGCTATATGAGGATTTTCCTTCTCTTTAGCTACTTTTTTTTTTCTCTTTAGCTACTTTACAGAGAATATTAAGCAAGCATTTCAGAACTCAATTTATGATAATTTCTATATAATTTGTGGGATATTATATATATATACATATACATGTATGTGTATATATATAATATATGTGGAAATATTAGATTAACAGAAATGGGTTAATTAATTAACCCATTAATTAAGACAGAGCTAGCCGATAAGAAACAAGTAACGGGCCAAAAGCATTATATCAAATACAGAGTCTCAATGTGTTATTTGGGGCTGGCGCGGTGGCAGTACAAGACCAGTGGCGGGCAGAAAAACCTTACTCCTTACATATGGCACCCATGTGGCTAATAAGAACTTCCACTTAAAATTTAACAAAAGCTTTAAAAAGGGATTTGCAAACAAAAGAACAGAGACAAGCAAGGTTTCTTGGTAGCAGCAGTTTTCTTGGTTGGGACTCTGATTTGCGAGAGACAAGCAGATATTTATGTGGTTCCTTTAAGGGAAATTTTCTGACTCAGCATAAGCGGCAAAAAAAAACCACATGGCTTTTAAGAAGCCCTGCTAACAATTTATTGGTTTGTACGAGAGCTGGCAATGGCAGTAACCACATCTCCAAGCTGGCAGCATGTTGCTAGATGGTAGCGCAGACCAAGGCAGTGAGCGCAGCTCTCATTGCTGGCGGTAAAGGTACCCGCCACCATCTTTGATAAACTGTGGCAGAAACAACTATGACTTTCATTTTAGCTATGTTGTTGTTTACCAGATAAAAGACTCGTGGCCAGAAAAACATAAAGATTTACAGTAAAGACAGATTCACATTAAGAAAACCTCTAAAGGTTTACAGTGTGTTTTAAAATATATGTAGGCTTGGAAGAGAAAGAGAAAAGCGATAAAATGGCTTAAAAATAAAAAGACAGAACAGCTGGGTCTTGTGGCACATGCCTTTAATTCCAGCATTCAGGGGACAGAGACAAGCAGATCTCTGTGATTTCCAAGTAAACCTGGTATGCAGAGTGAATTCCAGGACAGATAAAAGTTACACAGAGAAACCCTGTCTCAAAAAATAAAAAAATAGAAGTAAAAGAAACAGAGTAATAAAAAAGTCACGTAAAGATGGAAAGCACAGTAAAATTATGGATGCTATATGCTATTCTGTTGTCTTTAAATTGTTTGACTGCTGAGACTATAACTGTTAGGAACTAGCAGCCAGCTGACCCCTACCCCAACGATGGGTGGGACGCTCATGGCCATGTCATCCCTACTCAGCTTTACCTGGCGGCCAGAGGACTCAGTTATGCATGTGCAAGCCTCTTTTAAAGCAAGCACACCAAGTGCTTCTCTCTCTGCCTCTCTGTTTCTTTGCTCTCTCTTTGCTCTCTCTCTCTGTTCCCTCTTTCTCTCCTGCTTTCGGTTGGCCACCCCCTCTTTCTCTCCCCTCTCTCAATAAACTCCATGTGGGCACTGAGTCTCGTGTTTGTGTTTTATAGGCATTAGTTGCATCAAAAGAACAACATTGGTGTTTCTTAGGCATTAGCTGCAGCAAATGAACAATAATAACAACAACTGTTAAAGGAAATACTGCTGGATTAATTCAATTTATATATTTTAAAAATGCTTTGACTTCAAAATTTAAATCTAAGGACCAGTTACTGGGGAAAAGGATTTCTATTTTTGTTTCCACAGAAAATGAAAAGCTGTAGATTCCTTCCAGACTAATGTGGTTTGATCAAGCCAGACCCCCTGAAACAGAATCGCTAGTGAACCAACATTCAAAACAGCTTGGACAAAGCAGCCTAGCAGACTACAGCCAGGATTTCTGTCTCTTCTTAGGATCCCCCATGACAGCGCCCCTATCAGCAGGAAGTAGTTTGGAAAGAACGATGCCCAAATTACCAAATATTGTTTATAAATATTTGTTTTCATTTAAATGGGGTTGGTTATAAATGGTTAATGACCACAACCAATATTTTTAAAGGTAAAAAGGGGATTAGGGTATAGATATGAATACTTTGTGTTGGAATGGATTTTCATTTATTGATACAATTTAAGGTCAATTTTGTGATATCTATATATCTCTTGTTTAGGTATTGTGTTTATATAGCTCATTTAAGAATGTAATGTATAATTTAGTACAGATTATAGTTAGTTACTTATAATAGTCAAAACTTATAGCTAGGTGAGTTAGGTTTTCTAGGTATGCAGAGATGTATTTGAGATAGATAGGCATTCTTCAAACCTTTCAAAGACCTACAGAATATGGCATTTAAAATGGTTTAGGGTTTTTCTTGACAGTGAGACATAAATGCTCCTGGTAACACCACCTATGTCAGAAAGGAAGATGGACATTGAAGAAACCCGTATGGAGTTTGCTTCCAGTATGGCAAGACTAGCCATTTGGACAAGATACTGCTCTTGTCTGTACTGTTTGACTTTTGCTGTATAAACTGGACATGCAGGACCCACAGAAAAGTTACTGCTGATTCAAAATGGACATTGCTACAGAATTCCTGCTTCATGGAAGAGTCTGCCAGACAGTCTGCAGGACACAGAAAAAAAAAATGACTAACAAACTGCCAATACAAGAAGACAGTTTAAAGTCTCCTACTTTGCTAAAGAGTCTACTAGACACACTATGGTCTATGGGCTAAATATGAAAGATTACAGAAGAACTTCAGATGACTGACAAGGCAAGATGTCTCTGTCATTTCTAGAGTTTATATACTATCCTTCTGTGATCTTTGAAGGAATTGAAGACAGATAGTTCTGGTTATAGTTTTCCTTAGTTAAGCTTAAAGATAAGTTACATATAGGACTTTAGACTCACAAAGATAGGATAGATGATGGAATATTTTCTTTAAATCTTGCTAAATGTTATTGGACTAAATGTTGTTAACTGTGATTCTTGATAACTGTTACATAATATATTTTGCTATACTAAGGTTAAAACCCTTCTTTTTATTTAGACAGAAAAGAGGAGATGATGGAAGATGTCATTCTGTATATATGTTTCTCATACTGGTTAATGAATAAAGCATTGTTGGTCAATAGGAAAGGAAGATAGGAAGGACTAGGAGACAAGGAGGAAAGAGGAAGTAGTAAGGAAGAGTCATCATGGAGAGACTGGGGAGATCAGATGCAGGCCCCATTCCCTGGTAAGATGAAAGCACGAGGAAATATTAGATTAATAGAAATGGGTTAATAATTAAGACAGAGCTAGCCGATAAGAAACAAGTAATGGGTCAATAGCATTATATCAAATACAGAGTCTCAGTGTGTTATTTGGGGCTGGCACAGTGGCGGTACAAGACCAGCGGCGGGAGGAAAAACCTTACTCCTTACACACACATATACATATACATACATTCATACATATATACATACATATCACTTTTCTGTGAAGAAACTTCACTAAGTTCTTTGCATTCTTTTGGCATGGGGAAGGAACGAGCAATTTTCTGTTATACTTTAGTTTTTAAGTACCATGTATGTAAAAAAAAAAAAAAAAAATAGGATAGCAACCTATTCTGGCCCAAACCTGCCCCATTTATATGCTATATTATATAGAAGCATTTTATTGTTATGTGGTTCCATTTGCACAAGATGCTTAGGAGTAGAACTTCTAAGTCACAACTGTGCACAGGATCAGTTTTACTAGCTATGGGGAACCTGTTAGTGTTCAGGCAGCTGTATTGGTCTGCCCTTGGGGTTCTCACAGGATATGCCCACAGCTGCAGCTACAAAGAGCACCACCTGTGCACATTCACTCACTCTTTGTCCTTTTAAAAGGGCCCTGCTCACCCCACCTCCTCTTCTGCAGCTCATGTCCCCAGCATCTGGTCTCCACTCTTCCCTTTCCCCTTTCCCATTTACTTTCTTCCAAAAACAAACAAACAAACAAACAAACAAACAAACAAAAACCCTCTACTCAAGTTCTATCACATGGCATCTTTCTCTCTCCAGCCACTTTAAAAAATTACAACATAAACAGTGCCCTAAAATGTTTTAATCAATCTCTGTACACACCACAATACACTGCTCATTTCAGTTAGTTCAGATTCTTTCATAAGTTTGGTTTTACCATTCTGTTTAACTTCAGTCCTCTCCACAGTATGTGCTGACATTTTGTAAAGTTTGTATTTATCTTTTATTGGTAACTAGGAAGTAAGTATCTTATGTTTGTTGGCTATTTATAGATTGATTTTATAAATGGATGAAAAGCTGAGATCTTAAGTAGCCAGTATTAAGTTAAATGTGACAAATGCTTATCAAGACCATGCTATTTTAATAACCCAATTAAGTTCTCTCATTTCTTTTTTGCAGACAAACCCTCTTTCATGTAGCAGTATCATAAATTAGATCTGTCTATTATAGAATTTTATGCAAATAAAATCATATGTATGAAAGTTATGTAGAAAGTATTTATCTAGGATAGTTGCTAGTTCCAAGCCTATGGTACCATGAGACATATGAAAT